CACTACAGCTACACAGTAACTCATGTAATGCGTGACTGCAACATAAAAGTGTAAATGTGTCCAAAGGGTGCTGTGCACCCCTAAATGAAGGTATTTTCAGGGGAAATATGGTGATCTCCTTACTTTGCATGGGTGCATGTAAAGCATTACTAAAACCACACATCTTGTCTATTTTGGATAGAAAAGAGAATGGTTAAAACCAGGGGCGGACTAACAACTCACAGGGCCCCCGGGCAATAGGGGATCATGGGGCCCCTGTGTCCTTGCCCAAACTCAAAAAAAGCCTATGAAAAAGGTACCAGGAGCATCTCATGGGGCCCCCTACTGACCCCGGGCCCTCGGGCAGTGCCCGAGTTTGCAAATGGTCAGTCCGCCCCTGGTTAAAACTAGTGATGAGCTAGTACTGCGAAAGGTTGTCACATGATAGCAGGCTGCTGGTCCAATCAGCTGCGGCAGGAGAATTCCCCACCCTCTTGCAGTCAAACATAACAAAGGGGAGGGAATGCTGGTGACATCTTTGACTGAATATGACCACATGGCCATATCTGGGCAATGGCCAGGGGCGGACTGACAACTCATGGGGCCCCCAGGCAATAGGAAATCATGGGGCCCCTGTGTCCTCACCCACACTCAAACCACACCCAAAAGAAGCCTATGAAAGGTACCAGGGGCATCTCATGGGGCCCCATACTGACCCCAGGCCCTCGGGTAGTGCCCGAGTGGCTAAATGGTCAGTCCGCCCCTGGCAATGGCATTGTCTAAAAGTGACCATAGTAGGTCAATGATACCACCAGCATCTCCGCCCTGTGGCCTGCTGTAAACGGACAGTTTTCTGTATATTCAGGCTTTGGCCTGAACCTTAGCTCATCACAATTAAACCATATTCAGGTTTTCTTTTATGTTGTTCTTTAATTATTTTTTTGCCATTTGTGTCCTTTTGGAGAGATTTTGTCTCTCTTCTTATCTCAAAATATAACAGGAAGTGAGGGGAAATTTCTTGAAAGTGAGAGGAATCCCTTCTTAGAAAACTGTCACTAGAATAAGCATCCTGAAGAGAAGATTTTCCGGTGACAACTGACAGAGTGAATCTCTCTAGAAGAGACCCAGACAGCTTAAAAACCTGAAGGAGATTCTAACCAGTCACCTCTCTACCCAGGACTACAGCCTGGTACACACTATGTGTTTTTTTTCGCAAGTGATTTTAGTATAGCGATCTCCCGTATTTTGCTAGTTCTTACAGGCTCCCACCCCCACCACAACGTCAGAACACACCGGTCAGCGCTAGCAGCCTTTGACTGCCAGTGCTCATCAGATGTCGATCCTTCCGTTGGATGAGGAGCTGTACACACAGGCCAAAGGTTGGCTGCATTCTGTCAAATCAACCATTTTCGGCTCGTGTGTACCAGGCTTGAACAAATAGTTGGCTTTAGATACACTTTAACAGGATTTGATGCTGGGTACGATTTAATATGGTCGGAAAGGCTCTAAAATTAGATCAGTAGTAAAGTTGACCATACACTGTACAAATTTTGCCTGTTTTTGGACCCATTTCACCCAAAGGAACCGAGAAGACAATTGTTGACCAAACAGCAGCTGCATCCAATCAGATGCAGCCACTGTGGGGGTATTTGGGCAACTTTTGGGGTCAGATGTCAAAATACAATAGTCACAGCAGGAAATTCATCCATGCTGTATGGTCCTACAGGCTCAATGAAAAGAATCTATGTGTATGGCCAGCTTAAAGCTAGCCTTACAGTGGTCATAAAGTCTCAAGGTTTTTTTTTTACCATCATGCATTCTATGCATGAAAGATAAAAACCTCCTGCATGTAGCATCCCAGCCAGGCCCCCCGCAACATTTACCCAAGCCCCCTCTTGATGCAGCGATGTCCATGAGAGCCTCAGTTCTCCAGGGACTCTCACTCCTGATTGGCTGAGGCAACAGCGGGAGCCACTGGCTCCTGCTGCTGTCAACCACAGCCACTGAGCCAATCAAGAGAGAGAGGGGGAGGGCCAAGCCACGGTTTTGTGTGTGAATGGACATGCAGAGCAGCGGGTCGGGAGAAAGCTGTTTGCTATGGGGGCACCAGACAGGAAGCAGGGGCCAGAAGCGCTGACGGGGGGACCGGGGGTGGACTGACAACTCATGGGGCCCCCGGGCAATAGGGGATCGTTGGGCCTCTGTGTCCTTGCACAAACTCAAAAAAGCCTATGAAAAAGGTACTAGGGGCATCTCATGGGGCCTCCTACTGACCCCGGGCCCTCGGCCAGTGCCCGAGTTTCCAAATGGTCAGTCCGCCCCTGCGGGGGACCCAAGAGGAAGATCTGGGTTCCTCTGTGCAAAACCACTGCACAGAGCAGGTAAGTATAACATTTTGGTTCTTTTTAAGAAAAAACTCCTCCTACAGCTCCAGCACCTCTCTGTGCAGCCACAGCACCCCCTTGTCTCCGCCTCCACTGGTCCGAGCATTCAGTAGACTCCAGTCCTCCTCTGGTCCTCCTCCAGACCCTCTACATAAGAAGTCAAGAGCCCCCCACCCTCCCTTATATCAAAGGGAGATGAGGGCTCTGGACATCTAGCTTTACAACCAGCCCTTGAAGGGTAACCATGATGCTGATGCGGCGAAATGGAGTTTGACACCCCTGCCCTAGTGAAAACCAGTTTTAGGTCCTACGTTTTTGTTCGCTGCACTTTTTGATATACAGAATGTTTTTGTGATATTACAGGCAGTGGTTGAGGCCATAAATCAAGTCGTTTCTCTTTGGTTGGTTTATAGTTTTGAGCTCAGAGGCTCCACCATTTTTTTTAATATTTAGTTTATAGCAGAATCTTGAGACATTTGTTGTGGGTGGTTCTTCGTTAAACAAAATGCAATGTTTGCAAATTTGCTTAGATCTAGTAAAGGAACCAACATTTGCTAAAAAAAAAAAAGTACACTTATTCTTCAGCCTTTCAACACACAGCAAGATTGGCCCTAAAAGGGTCTCTGTGAGAACGCTGCCAAGTCAACTAATTACCGCCTGGACAAAGAGCAGAACCCAAATGATAAAAAGATTTAATGAAATGCCCAGGCCCATTTTCATGCCGGCTTTTGAAGGAGTAGACGTGTCTAGAGATGGCAAATTGTCAGCTATAAATCACTAGAGATGCTGAGTGAAAATTCACAGTCAAGGCTTTTTCATGAAAGTTTGGGTTATTAAAGAATAATAAAGCAGCTGGAGATTTAATTCTGAATCTGTGATGGATAAACTCCAGGACTGCAAACTTTGCTACTGCTTGTCCTGAGTCACACCAATCGCTCCTGGCCGCACATGCAACGTATTAACAAGCCAGTAATTAGCTGACATTCCCGGTTGCTACTAAAAGCTTCCCTCCCACACACACTGCCTCTCCTCCTCCTCCTCATTTTATTACCTTTGATGATTCACTAAACATTAGCCTTTGGCGGGTATTGCCTAACACTGGTTTGCATGACTTCCTAGGCGATATACTAAATTAATGCTCAACGCAAGATGCAATCCATAAAACGTTCATTCATAGATCTTTAGAGTAGGAAAGTGTAAAGCATGAGTAAATGTAATCCCTAAAATATAATATAAACCTTAACATGTTAATGTCAATCTAGAAGTCTTTTTTAACATTTCAAAATTTGCAGCTTTCATTTTGGGACGACTGACATTTTAGAGATCCGTTGTGGTGCTTTAACATGCGTTCATTTAAATCCACCGCCAAACGATCCCTAGGGACAAAAAATATATACTTGGTCCTTTTTGCGCTGCAGTAAGTTGTGCTGTACTGTATAATTCCTTAACCACTTCCAGTCCAGACACTTTTACCCCCTTCCTGTCCAGGCCAATTTTCAGCTTTCAGTGCTATCACACTGTGAATGACAATTGCGCGGTCATGCAACACTGTACCCATATTAATTTTTTAGCATTTTTTTTAGACAGATAAAGCTTTATTTTGGTAGTATTTATTCACCACTGGGATTTTTATTTTTTTGCTATACAAGTGAAAAAAGTCCAAAAATTTTGAAAAAAAACGTGTTTTTCTTATAAAATTTTGCAAATAAATAATATTTCATCATAAATCTTGGCCAAAATTTATTCAGTTATCTTTTTAGTAAAAAAAAAACCCAAATTAGCTTATAACCAAAAATTATATATTTAAAAAAAAAATAATAATTTTTATTTTTTTTATATTATTATTTATGCTTTTTTTCTACATACTGTCACCCTAGCAGTACAGTGTCACCATGGTGACACTGTACTACATGTGGGGGGTAATGAAGATTTTTTATTTTTTTTTTACACTGATTGCTTTTACCCACCCATAAAGGCTGTAAAAGCAATCATTTCTCCTTCTCTCTGGCTGCATTCTTGCAGCCATTGAGAACTACTGTGTGAGCTGTGATTGGTCACAGCTTGTCACATGGTACAAGGCTGTTGTGAATAGCCTTGTACCATGTGACCTCTGTGATCATTCACAGATTTCACACATAGTAAGCAATGATGTCACAAGTGACATCTTGCTTACTACTCTGCATGTAATCACTGATTGGCCAATCAGTGATCACATGATCGGGACCTCGCACAGAGGTCCCGTCCGATGATCGGTGTTACACTGTATCCGGAGGACACAGTGGGCACCGGATCGCGGTGCTGCGCGCTCCCAGGGAGAATGCACAGTCCAGAATGGTGGGCACCGTTTATGAACGGCAACCCGCCCCTGGACTGCCACCATCCGGCCGTTTATATACAGCGGCCGGACGGCAAGTGGTTAAGGTGCTGTCTACATTAAAAGGCCTGGTGATGCACTAAGTGCACTTTGGTAATGCGCAGTAACACACTCCTTTTGTGATGCATTGCCACAACACCACACAAATGTGAAGAGGGCCTTCATAATACCTGGCGATCCTGCCACAAAGGTCCTTAATCAGTCATGTCTTGTTATACACGGACAATGCTCGGTCTCTGCCTCCAAACACCTACCTGTCTCATTGGGGCTATTTACTAAAACTGGAGAGTGCAAAATCTGGTGCAGCTCTGCATAGAAACCAATCAGCTTCCAGGTTTTATTGCCAAAGTTGAAATTAGAAGCTGATTAGCTACCATACACAGCTGTACCAAAATCTGAGTGCGCCAGTTTTAGTCAATCTCCCCCATAGGTTTCTGATGGAGACAAGTGGACACTTTTTTTTTATTATTATTATTATTATACAGGATTTATATAACGTCAACAGTTTGCTCAGCGCTTTACAATATAACGGGAGACAATACAGCAACAATACAGTTCAATACAAGAGGATTAGGAGGGCCTGATCCTGGGAGCTTACAATCTAAGAGGGAGGGGCTAGTGGTACAAAAGGTAGTAACTGTGGGGGATAGACTGGTAGGAGGAATAGAAGATTCCATTATTAGCTGAGGGCAGGATAGGCTTCTCTGAAGAGATGTTTTTCAGAGATTGCCGAAAAGTGAGCAGAGTAGGCGATAGCCTGATAAACTGGGGTAGAGAGCTCCAGAGGATGGGGGAAGCTCTGGAGAAGTCCTGGAGACAAGCATGGGAGGAGGAGACAAGGGATCTAGAGAGCAGGAGGTCATGCGAGGAGCGGAGAGTACGGTTTGGGTGATATTTGGAGACAAGATTGGTGATGTAATTTGGGGCAGAGTTATAAATGGCTTTATATGTCATTGTTAGAGTTTTGAATTTTATCCATTGGGCAATGGGAAGCCAGTGGAGGGATTGGCAGAGAGGGGTGGCAGATATGGAATGGATGGTAAGGTGGATGAGTCTGGCAGCAGTATTCTTTATAATTATTATACAGGATTTATATAGCACCATCAGTTTGCTCAGCACTTTACAATATAATGGGAGACAATACAGCAACAATACAGTTCAATACAAGAGGGATAGGAGGGCCTGATCCTGGGAGCTTACAATCAAAGACTTTAAAACACTTTCATAGGCATGGTCTACTGTTGTAACCATCAGGAATACCGCCATGAAAAAATGCCATGCAGCCATTGCTGGAGTGCAAGCCTGTAGACAGCAAGTCATTGCAAAAAGACTGCAGGAGATCAGCAGCCTCGTGATGCAACAAGGGATAAAAAATAGCAGTGGTTTATAGTGCACATCACTTTATTAAATGTCATTCAGGAAAGCCCCTTTCACACGGCAGGTCCAATCAGGTCAGCCTGTTAGTTTTCCAGGTGGACCTGATCAGATGGTGCATTCGCCCTTATGTACAGGCAGATGTAAATGGACTTGTGTCGGTTTACACCTGCCTACCTTGGGTCCAATCCAGTCTGCTAAAAATGTAAGGGAATTTGTTCTCCGCTTAGGTGGATCAGAGGGTAGTTGGGTAGAAACAGATAACAGAGTCCGTTTACTCTCAGCTGCCCATACACCACAGCAGACTCTGTCCGGGTCCACTCTGCCTAAAGTCAGTAGACAAGGATGTGTCATCCGCCTGCTCTGTTCCATCCAGCAGGAGATCTCTGAGTAGATCCCCTGCTCGTCGGGACAGAGTCCAGTCCATTTAAAAGAGGCCTAAGGTTTACATCTACTTCATCTTAGGTTCTCTAGAATCCGGAGATCACCTCAATGGTTCAGAGGGAGTAGACTTTATAAAGATTATATGAAACAATAATTGAGTACTGTCTGTTATTCTTTTTTTATTCACTCTAACTCAAGACTCCCTCAAGAGTTGGTTCTGGCCAGCTCAGTGGATTGCTTCAAAAAGGGCCTGGATTATTTCTTAGATATACAGAATATAACTGGATACTAACATTTATAGGTAAAGTTGATCCAGAAAATATCCGATTGCCTCTCGGGGATCAGGAAGGAATTTTTTTCCCTGCAGGAGCAAATTGGATCATGCTTTGCTGGGCTTTTTTGCCTTCCTCTGGATTAACTGTGGGTGTAGGATTATAACTTTTTTTTTTTTTTTTTTAAAAAAAAAAACTGGATGGACTTTTTGTCTTTTTTCAGCCAGACTAACTATGTAACTAACATCCAAACTTTCAGGACAAGCTTTCAGGATGTATCCCCTTCCTCAAGGTCCAAGCAGTACTAATACAGAAAGTTTTAGCAGAAAGTTAAGTAGGACAATCTCCAAAGAGAAAAAAAACCCCAACAAACAAAACATACACAACAATGATAATTAAAACTTTGACAGTTTCAGAGATAAGAAAAAGAGAGTGAATAAGGAGGGGGTATGTGCCGAACGCTTGTCCTGAAAAATTGGATGTTAGTGAAAATAAAAAAAGTATCTTGGATAGTAATTGATTGTTTTTGTTGCAAATGCACTAATACGGCTACAATCACCTCCAGCATAAAGACTATGGGGGAGATTTACTAAAACTAGCACGCTCAGAATCTGGTGCAGCTGTGCATGGTAGCCAATCAGCTTCTAACTTCAACTTGTTCAATTAAGCATTGATAATGAAACCTGGAAGCTGATTGGTTTCTATATACAGCTGCACCAGATTTTGCACTCTCCAGTTTTAGTAAACCCCCCCATGTTAACTTCCTTTCTGTCTACTATATCCTTGATGATGGTGCCATTGAATCTGATTGGTAGCTGTAAGAAATACCCTGCAGAGTGTTAGGAAATTCCTCTTCTGCATCAAACCAAATGTTCTCAGATCACCAGATTACTGAAAAAAGGGGCCGAGGTGGACTGGCGCAGCAGCAATGCTGGATGGAAAACCAAACCCTAAAACTACATTCAGATGGCCGAATAGCAGCAGATACTTTGCTGTTTTCAAATACTGCAGCAAAACTCTGTGCTTTGGCCATATACAAACTAGATGCTTAGCTGCGGCCAGTTTGTGAGCGGGCAAAAATCTGTAGAAATGCAGAACCTGGACGCACACAGAATGTGTTCAGGGTCTGTCTGATACTCTATTTGCCTGTAACCGCTCAGCGGAGAAGTTACATGCGGACAGCCACTGTACCGGCCGTAGATTTCTACAAATTTTAAATCTGATAGCCACCAATGACAGCTGCAGCTCTTCACACACAACCGCTTTCAGGAATCAGTAGACTGCCTGCCTATGGGGCTGTCTGATTGCAGCCTAACTGGAAAACAGATCGTTTACTAAACCATTGTGTATCATAAACATTTTTAAACCTTTTACCTTTTCACATCCCTTTTTAATATCAGCACTGCTGGTCTCCTTCAGTCTCTTCACAGCCACTTCCTGTCTACATGTATTTGCTTCAGCATCTACTGTACATCACTGCTCACAGTGGACTTCCTGATAACCTGGTGACAATGGAGCAACATACCTGCACAGTAAGCGTTGGCCGCCAACAGACTCCACTGGAATGCATAGAAATGTTCTACGGCACATAGTTACATAGCTAGTCAGGTTGAAAAAAGACACTATTCCATCTACTTCAACCAATAGAAAAAAATACATAAATAGAAAACCTCCAAATACACAGTTGATCCAGAGGAAGGCAAAAAAAAAACCCCCCAAATAAAGCATGATCCAATTCGCCCCGGAGAAGGAAAAAAATCCTGTTTCCCCAGGAGACAATCAGATATTTCCTAGATCAACTTCCCCTGTTAATATTACCTCTAAATATTAATATCCTGTTATATTTTGTGCATTTAGGAATGCATCCAGCCCTTTTTTTAAACAATTTACTAAGCTGGCCAGAACCAGTTTTTGAGAGAGTCTATTCCACATTTTCACAGCTCTTACTGTGAAGAAGTCCTTCCATATGTAAAGGTTAAATCTCTTTTCCTCCAGACATAAAGAGTGCCCCATTGTCCTCTGAAATGACCCGAAAGTGAATACCTCTACACCAAGTTTCCTATACAGACCACTTATGTATTTCTATGTGTTGATCGTTTGCACCCTATATCTTCTCTTCCCAAGAGAGAATAAATTCAGTTCAGCTTATCTTTCCTCATAGCTGAGCTCCTCCATGCCTCTTATTAGTTTGCTTGCCCTTCTCTGTACTTTCCATAGTTCGCCGATATATTTTTTGAACTTGTGCCCAAAACTGAACATGCATCAATGAGTGTAAAACTGAGCATACAAGCACATCAAAAACACTTGTGTTCATGTGGATTACATCCAGGAACTTTATTTTCATAACCCCCAAACGTACTGGTAGGTTGGTAAGCTTACACCCAATTGGCCCTAGAGTGAGTATGTCTGTATGGCTATGATAGGGACATTAAACTGTAAGTTCCACCTATACACAGATCAATTTTAAAAGTTCTATGAGTTCTGTAAAGTGCTATACAATGTATAAAATAAAATAAAATAAACCTTCACCAAAACTCTCAGTGTCACTAGCCTTCTTTCTTTGAAAACTGCTGTTTCCTCTAGGAAGTCAAAGCTCCATTACAACTTACAAAGCATGCTAGGACAAGTCATTATTTTTCATTTCAGGCCAAGAGCGGTTGTTCTAGATGGTGTCCATATGCAAGTCTCGGAACACCTCAGCAATTGGCAGCTATTAACCTCTTTCCCAATCTTGTTTTGGGAAAGGTCACTCCACTTCACTGAAGTAACAAATGACATCCTCTCAACCATGGTCCAAGGTCAACACTGCTTTTATTTACTTGCCAAGGGCTCTCAGGTCTGATAAGCCCTAAACTGTTTTAGAGTAGCTATTAGACAAAATACCAGGATGATCAATCAGAGATGGGATCACAAAATTGCTCCTGAAACCCAGACTAAATTAGGGTGTTAAGATTTTAACTGTAATTAAAAGGAGTTCCTCTGCTCCATCAAACTCAAGAGTTAGGCTGGGACCTCACATGCACACTGATCTGAGATGCTCGTGTTTTCTCGGCATGGTGGTCAAGGACAGTTGACGTTCCAGCCCCATCTGGAGTAAGGATAATATTTAGAAGTTTTCTTTCTCTCAGACATTCTTAATGCAAATCAGAAAAATACAATTTGTTCAGAATGCTCTTGCTGTGCGCTTCTATTTAAACACATGCCCAACAGTGAACTTTACAAACTCTTTATGGTAGACTAGGAAGTAATAGCAGTGATAGAATAGGAACATATGAAGAGCGCCTGCAGGATAAATATACTGGCAGAGCTACGTTGGCATTTACGGTCAACGTGACACGTGCCCGTGC